TGTTATCCAGGCTGGAGTGCAATGGCGCGATCTCGGCTCACCGCAACCTCCGCCTCCTGGGTTCAGGCAATTCTCCTGCCTCAGCCTCCTGAGTAGCTGGGATTACAGGCACGCACCACCATGCCCAGCTAATTTTTTGTATTTTTAGTAGAGATGGGGTTTCACCATGTTGACCAGGATGGTCTCGATCTCTTGACCTCGTGATCCACCTGCCTCGGCCTCCCAAAGTGAGTTTTTTTTAAGGGTGAAAATACTGCCACTTTCTTTGTAGAAATCAGAAGATCTAGGCCGGGTGCAGTGGCTCATGTCTGTAATCCCAGCACCTCAGGAGGTCAAGGCAGGCTAGTCACTTGAGCTCAGGAGTTTCAGATCAGCCTGAGTAACAAAGTGAGACCCTGTCTCTACAAAAAATACAAAAACTTGCCAGGCAGTGGTATGTGTCTGCTGTCCCAGCTGCAGTGAGCTATGATTGCACCACTGCACTCTAGTTTAGGTGACAGAGGAAGATTCTGTCTCAAAATAATATTAATTATCAGAAGACCCAGCAAGGCTTGATCTGTATTCCCGCATGGCAACAAGAGGCTGGAACTAGTGGCTGCTTCCTATAGACAGGAAAGTTGGCCTGCAGTTCACCACGCTCCCCACCATTTTTGTCTTACACTCTGCCTTACTTCACTCTATGTTATCTGCCTGAGCTCTGCAGGCTTTCAAGTTTGTGACCCCTGCTCCCTCATGTCCCCAAACTGTGATACTTGCCTCTCCTAAAACAATAGCCCAGAGAGAATATAAAGGACACCACTCTTATCTGAATCCTTGGTTGCCATTTAATCTGATGTAACCTTGGGCGGTGACATCACCTTGCTGAAGTCTCAATTCTTTAAATGGAGGGCAATCACAAATTCTAAATGGAGGTAATCACATCTGCTTCATAGGATTTCTGTGAGGACTACACTTTGCCTAATGAACTCTTACTCCTCCTCTGGATCTCAGCTCTAGCACTGCTTCTGATAAACCTTTCCAGACCTCCCAACTAGATCAAATCCCTGACAGACACAGGTTCTCGGCACCATGTCTCTCTTCTTGGTGGCACCCATCTCCCTTAAATTGTACATTAGTTTGTGGATTACCTGGTTAATGCCTGCCTCTCCCACCAGTCTGAAAACTCAATAATGGGAAGGATCCTGCTTGTGTTCCCTATCTACCACCACACCTGGCATAAAATAGGTCCTCAATAAGTATTATTTAGAAAGAAAAATGAGTTGTGTAAAGATGCTTGTACAACCCCTGGCATATACGAGGTGCCACACTGATTCTCTCTGCCCCACCCTCACCTAATGGCTGTTATGTACATGGTACCCTAAGATTCTGGGGCTGCTAAAATTGACTCAATTTTAACTAACATTTGGGAAAGAAGTGATTAGGGTGTGTTTTCTAATAAGCTATCTACCTCCCAGAATAAGGATTTTTGTTTTGCCCAGTGACATACATGTAGCTGAAGTGGAGTCCAGGCCACTCATCACCTGAAAGCCAAAAACTCAAAAGACAAACTTTGGTGAAAGCAAAGTCAGCTTTATTCGAGAAACCAGCACCCTGCAAAACACAGTGCACTAGCATTCAAAGACCACCTTTCTCAGTTGTGCCTCTAGATCCAGGGATTTTAAGGGAAATTAGGGGAAATAATGATCAAAACATTCTTGTGGGCCAGGCACGGTGGCTCACCCGTATAATCTCAACAATCTGGGAGGCCGAGGCAGGCAGATCACCTGAGGTCACGAGTTCAAGACCATCCTGGCCAACATGGTAAAACCCCATCCCTACCAAAAATGAGCCTGGCGTAGTGGCTCACACCTGTAGTCCCAGCTACTTAGGAGGCTGAGGCAGGAGAACTGCTTGAACCCAGGAGGCAGAGGCTGCAGTGAACTGAGATCACTGCACTCCAGCGTGGGTGACAGTGCTAGACTGTCTCAAACAACAACAACAACAAAAAAAATTCTTGTGAATCATGCATAGTCTCAGATGGGCAGTTAATCATTACTTTTTTGATCAATGCCTTGTGACTAGATTCTGCAGGGGCCATGGAGCTGCAGGTCTGTTTTATCTGTTGAAGAAGGTCTTGTTTTTTCTGAGGCTGTTTCTAGTGAATAATTTACAAACTCAGGCAAAATAATAATTATACTCAAGCAAGCTTTTCTCTAACATAGAGTCAGTACTGCTATTACCCATTGCAGTGCCTGGGGACTTAGCTGGATGCCTACCTGGCTTTTGTAGCCCAATGGAATGCTTCCATGACATAGCTAAATTCCTACTCAGCTTTAACTCTGCTTATTTTTAGAAAAATAGGATGTCTGTGGTCATAGGTTCCTTCTTAGCTTACTCCACCTCTGAAGAACGTCTAGCTTCATTATAATCCAACTTCAGTACTAGGTGACATTCCCACTGGTGCCCTGACAGTTGACAATCACCTTAATTACCCGAAGAGACCAAAAAAGGACAAAAAAAGAGACAGCTCCTTGATTCCAGGAAATTCTACCTCCCTTCCCAATAAAAAACATGTTCTTGTTCTTATTTTTTTAGAGACAGGGTCTTGCCATGTTGCCCAAGCTGGTCTCCAATTCCTAGGCTAAAGCATTCCTCTGACCTCTGCCTCCTCACCTTGCTCTCAATGCCCTGTCCCTTCATTAAGGACACCTGAGGACTAAGGTCTGATTTTATTGTATTTTTCTGTTTTGTTTGTTTTTGACACAGAGTCTCACTTTGTCACCCAAGCTGGAGTGCAATGGCATGGTCTCGGCTCACTGTGACCGCTGCCTCCCGGATTCAAGCGATTCTCATACCTCATCCTACCGAGTAGCTGGAATCACAGGCATGCGTCACCATGCCAAGCTAATTTTTTTCGTTTTTAGTAGAATGGGGTATCACCATGTTGGCCAAGCTGGTCTGGAACTTCTGACCTCAAGTGATCCATCTGCCTTGGCCTCCCAAAGTGCTGAGATTACAGGCACCAACCACCGTGCCCAGCCTAAGCTCTTATTTTTTTAATCTTGCCCAAATTTCTATCTAAGGGATCTGGGAAGTCATGCCCCTACAAACCATAAATTCTCATCAGATAGGTTTTATTTACCCCATATGTGACTTGCTTTCCAATCTGACTCTGGCATAATGCTACATGACAAAGAAGAAGGTCAAAATATTTTACCCCAAAACATGTTTCTTTGCCATGTTTTGCAACTTCCCACAAAAAGGACAGCATTTTACCCCAAAAGCTATCCTTTGTGGGGGACAATGTGTATCTTTAAAGAACATCTATTAACATAGCTCTAGATCTTTTTCCTCCAGACGCTCCCAATCCCAAAGAGATTAACTAAAAGTCTAACACCTTTTGAAGATCTGAATAGGAAACATTTGTCATCTATTATCTCTAAGGGCAGCCACCATAAGACTTCAAAAGAACCCTGGTCTCCACTGTCTTTTATCCTAACCTGAACATTTCCTTTCTATCAATCCCAGGTCTTCAGACAAACTCAACCAAATGTCACTAGAAAATGTATAAATTTACCTGTATCCGGGAAGCCCCCTCGCCCTTAGGTAGTCCCGCCTTTCTGGACCAAACCAATGTATTTCTTAAATGTATCTGATTGATGTCTCATGTCTCCCTAAAACGTATAAAACCAAGCTGCACCCCAGCAACCTTGGGCACATGTTCTCAGGAGCCTCCTGAGGGCTGTGTCATGGGCCATGGTCACTCCTATTTGGCTCAGAATCTTCAAATATTTTACAGAGTTTTACTTTTCGTCAAAACAGGCTCCTACCTGTAACTTCCCAGTTTTCAAGGGCCGAGAGGTTGATTTGCGAGCTACGCTCCCCTTCTCCAGTTCCATGACCAATGAATGAAGGCTGCACTGCCCTGGCTCTGCAACACTGGACAGGCAATAGCCGCTCTGAGGGTAACCAGCATCCCCTGGTGACACTGTTGCCTCTGCCAAGTGCCCAAAACGCAACATGGCACATAGTAGGTGCTCAAGAGAGGGCACGCCGGCTCAATGATTTCGGGACCAAGAGCAGCACCACAAGGGAGCAAGCTGGGAACTGGCTGGCTGAACCCTGAACCCTGACCCCGAGACCCCTCTGACCCCATCTGATCAGGGTCATCCACATCGACCTCCCCAACGCCAGATGCAACAGGAAGCCCCAGAGCTGGGGCCACGCACAGATCCTTCCGCAAGGCAGCAACGAGAGCGAGCCGTGTGCCTCCGCAAGTGAAAGAACCCGCGCCGCTCTGGTGCGCATCCCCGGGCCGGGAATACGACACAGATCCCTCCGCCCGAACGCAGTGTCCCTCCACCAGACAAACAAGTCCCCGCTCCCGTGCCCTCCTTCCCCTGCAGCCAGGCATCGGTGACCGGGTGCTCCTCCACCTCAGGATTCTCCGCCTGAAGCGGGACTCGCCTCCAGCTTCCATGCTGTTCCACTGCCTGCGATGGCCGGTGCCTTCGAGTCCCTCTGTGTCCCTCCGCCTAGGGAGGACCCTCCGCGCCCTCCACAGTCCTCAAATCCTTCAGCGCCGAATTGCCGTGCCGCATGCTCTCGCGAGAGTCCACCACACCGCCCGCCCGCCCCAGCCCCTCGCCCGCGAGGACGCCTCTCGCGGGCCCCGCGGCGCTCGGTGCCGGGCGGCGCATGCGTGGCTGCGGCTCCCAGCGCACCCCGCGCTCTCCGCGGGCCGAGTGGACGAGGCCGAACGCGAGGAGCCGGCCGTCGTCCCCTGCGAGGTCTGGCTTCGGCCCGCTGCTTCTCTCCCCTCCGGGCGGAACGGTTTTTGCAGCGTTTTCGGCAGGCACAGGTTTCCTGAGGACTGTCGGAGCCGCCGTGGGCCCGAAGAGCCCGGTGCCGCTTTCGGACTCCGCCGACACCCAGCGGCACCCGCAGCGGCCTCCGCAGCGGCCTCCGCAGCGGCCCGGGCGTGCGACCGTGACCTGGGCCCGGAACCCGGCACCGGGCGGGGCCTGCACATCCGGCCCCACCCACTCGGGGCCTAGCCTCTCGGAGCCCGACCCCGGGGTAGCGGACACACCCCCTCCCGGCCCGCTGTCCGCCTCCGCCCATCCTTTCCTTAACCTGCTTGATTTTTCTCCCAGTCTTCCAGCCTCTCGGGTTCGACTTTGCACTAAAAGGGATGCACCCCGGAAAACCACATTGCGGGGTCACATCTTGTTTGGAGAAGAGGCTGGGCTTTTGCATCTTAGGGTATACGTTCACCATTTCAAGGGCCTGGGATAGATTTGATTAATCCGCCTGAAGTACCCTGTTCCTGCTGACCCGGCCGTTTTTACCTCCCTATCTTACCACACTCCCAGGAACATTAAGTAGAAAGCGCTTGGAGTCTTCTTTGAGCCCCCACCTTGAGCTAGACGTGAAGTTGACCCCTGGGCTGCAGCATGGCTGTAGCTCTCGACTCTCAGATCGACGCACCCCTGGAGGTTGAGGGATGCCTAATAATGAAGATGGAAAAGGACCCCGAGTGGGCATCAGAGCCCATTCTGGAAGGGTTGGATAGCTCCGAGACCTTCCGCAAATGCTTCAGGCAATTCTGTTATGAGGATGTGACTGGACCCCATGAAGCTTTCAGTAAACTCTGGGAACTTTGCTGCCGGTGGTTAAAGCCAGAAATGCGTTCCAAGGAGCAGATACTTGAGCTGCTGGTGATTGAGCAGTTTCTCACCATTTTACCAGAGAAGATTCAGGCTTGGGCACAGAAGCAGTGTCCGCAAAGTGGAGAGGAAGCTGTGGCCCTGGTAGTGCATTTGGAGAAAGCGACTGGAAGACTAAGGCAGCAGGTGAGAGAGGATTTTCCACATTTTTGTACTTAGAAAAAAGGGAATGGGAAAGACGTGGGGTAGGGATGTATTGCAGAAAGAAGTGCTCTTCAGAGAAAGATATATCGTACTAATAAAAGACCCTTTAAGGGAGGTCTTTTCACTCTTAAGTGACTATTTAAAAGGGGATCAGAATTACAAATGCAAATGAAATACAAAAACAAAAGCTTTGGAGAAATATTATCTTGCAATTGGAACCCAACATTTTTCACCTAAGCATTTGATTTCATCTTTGGCATGTTTGCACTAAAACAATATGAGAGAACAATATCGTTTTGCTTCACAGAGGTTCACTTACACATCTTGATCAAAAAAGGCTATTCTGCTCCCCCTTCAAAAAAAAAAAAGACATCATCTGTAATCCCAGAGCCCTCTCCAAGCATTTACTGTTCCACTCAGTGTCTTCTGAAGTGCTCTCATGCCATCATTTCTGTCACTCTTCTCCAGTCTAACTGCCACATCTTCATTTCCCAGTGGCTTGCATGCCCTTCTAGTTGTTCTTCAACCTCCCTTTCATGAATCTCGGGGAATCCTGCAGCATTTGCAAGATTTGCAGTTTCACCTTGCGCTGGACTTGCATTGTGTATAGATCTATATCAGCAGGTTGCTGTGTTGGTCAGGGATAGACAGATATGAGGATTAATTTTGGTAAGTTTTCAGTTCACTAGTGAACATATTCATGTCCTGGTAACTTTTACTTCTCTGCGAATTTAACAGACATAAGGAGTCAAATATCTATTCTAGCAACAAGGAGGCTCTTTCACTCCTGACAGATTTCCCCTCTGTTTATTAGTAAAGACTATTTTGGCCAGGCGTGGCTCATGCCTGTAGTCCCAGTACTTTGGGAGGCAGAGGCGGGTTGATCACCTGAGGTCAGGAGTTCAAGACCAGTCTGACCAACATAGTGAAACCGCATCTCTATTTAAAAAAAAATACAAAATTAGCTGGGCATGTTGGTGCATGCCTATAATCCCAGCTACTTGAGAGGCTGAGCCAGGAGAATCGCTTGAACCTGGGAGGCAGAGGTTGCAGTGAGCCGAGGTCATGCCATTGCACTCCATCCTGGGCAACAAGAGTGAAACTCTGTCTCAAAAAGGAAAAAGAAGAATACTCTTCTGTTCCCTCATATCCAGACTGCTGGACAATACTCTCAGCCCAGCGCTCTCAGTGACTCCATTGGGAGTAGAGTGGAATTTTCATTTAGTCTCATGTCTCTGTCCTTCTTTGATGTCTTTCCTGGGAGAATTTTGCCCTGATGTGAGCCTGTTATACTCCCTCTTATGGTATTGACTTCATTTCCCAGGTCAGCAGCCCTGTGCACCCAGAGAAGCACGCCCCACTTGGAGCAGTGTGGGAGGTGGCTGACTTCCAGCCAGAACAGGTAGAGACCCAATCCAGTGTGGTGTCTAGGGAGGAAGCTGGAAGCCTCCACTCAGGACACCAGGAACAGCTGAACCGAAAGCGAGAACATCGGCCTTTACCCAAGAATGGTAAGAGGGAAGGCTCGGAGCATGCCCAGTGGAGAAGCTGGGGTAGATTTCTACGGTACCCCCAACACTGTGAATGCTCAGTGGAGGGCCCCCTAGATGCATATTTGAAATAAGAGTATTGAAGAAGAAAGGCTTCATTAACTTCAAGAATTAGGAACATGTGCAATGTAAGTAAAAACGGATCTTAAAGATGGGAAGTAAGCCTGCGCAACATGGGAAAACCCAGTCTTTACAAAATTGCAAAAAAAAAATTAGCAGGGTGTGAGGGCATACACGTATTCACCTAGTCCCAGCTATTCAGAAGGCTGAGGCAGGAGGATTGCCTGAGCACAGGAGGTTGAGGCTTTAGTGAGCTGTGATCACACCACTGTATTTTCAGCCTGGGTGACAGAGTGAGACTCTGTCTCAAAAAAATAAATAAACAAATGAATCCAAACTGGGGAAACTCAGATTGCCTGAGCCAGCTTTGAGATCTTGTGGTGTTATTTAAATTCTCTATGGCTGGGCACAGTGGCCCACTCCGTAATCCCAACACTTTGGGAGGCCAAGGCAGGAGGAACTCTTGAAGCCAGGAGTTCAAGATCAGCCTGGGCAACATGATGAGACAAACCCATTTCTCTAAAAAAAAAAATTAAATTAAATTAAATAAGGTCTGCATTCTACAATCATCTTGTGTTTTTTAGTCCTGCCATGTGTATGTGCTCTTAGCTGACTCTATGTAAAGTCAAAAAACCTTTTGGAAGGGAACAAGACATTTGTGTTCAAAATTTGACTCAAGGCATCACAGAAGTGGCATACGAGAGAGATAAACATTAAGACTTCACAGAGAAGGGACCACTGACATTCATAGCTGTCCTGCACATTAATGAATCAGGTCCAATACTAGGAAATGAATATGCTGTCCTTCTCAGTCCACAGTGATCTCTCCATCTCTTGAAGTGTGGCGTCATCTCAGACTTAAAGAGAAGAATGGAAAGATCACTGGACCTTCTGTCAAAAGTCTTACATCTTGTCTCTGCCACCCTTTCTCTGTGATCTTAGGCAAATAATATGAAAAGGAGCATTAATGCACAGAGGCTAAGAGCTTAGCCTTTAGACCCAGACAAACCTAGATTCAGAACCTAGCTCTGCCATTTTTTGTCTATGTGGCCTTGGTCAGGATATCTCTCAAACTTTCCATTCTCTCAACTTTATTTTACTTCTTCTTTGAGGTGGAGGCTTGCTCTGTCACCCAAGCTAGAGTACAGTAGCATGATCTTGGCTCACCACAACCTCCACCACCCGGGTTCAAGCGATTCTCGTGCCTCAGTCTCCCAAGTGGCTAGGATTACAGGCATGTGCCATCACGCCTGGCTAATTTTTATATTTTTAGTAGAGACGGGGTTTCACTGTGTTGGCCAGGCTGGTCTTGAACTCTTGACCACAGGTGATCTGCCTGCCTTGGCCTCCCAAAGTGCTGGGATTACGGGCATGAGCCTCTCCACACCTGGTCCTCTCATCTCTAAAAGGGAAATAGCAAGGCCATTAGTGGAGATTAAATGAGGCAGCTTAAAGGAGCCAGTGCATAATAGTGCTGAATAAATGTTAGTTTCCTTTTTCCCAGAATGGCACAATTATTTTTAAACCTCAAGTTTGTCTGACTTACACAGCCCTTTACTGAGAGGCAAGATTTGGAACTACTTACTATACTTTTTTATGCCTCCCCAAATTCATATTATGATGGAATTTATTGCAAATGTTCGTGGTTTATGAATCACCCAGAGTGTGTTCATTAGCATCAAAGCTCCCTTGCTCACATGGATTAGATGGCCCCAGTGACTTAAGCTTAAGTCTGTCAAATACCTATTCATGCTGTTTCTGGGTTTTGCCATCCCAGAGTGATAAGGAATTCCAAAAGTGGAAAAGTTGAATACTAATTGGGGGAATGAAGGACAAAATTTGAGGGCTAGATACCTCAGAAAGGTGAATTTAAGGAAACTGTAATTTCAGCCATGTGTGCCTCAGGGAATACAATGTTTCCAAGGAAATGACTTGATTTCCTTCTGTAGAAAGTAGTGGAGCAAGCTTTTGAGTTGTTGGTCACAAGTGATAGTTATTCCTAAGATGTTCCAGAGAAGAAGCTAGACCACAGATTGTGCTATATATAAATTTATATATCTTTCTTCCACCCTTGGAAGGGTGTGTTTGCCTATAGTGTCCATTACCATGTATCTATCTATATGCTCATTTCTTAGGACAATATTCACTCTTAGGGGATTCATTTATACTAGGGATGGCAAGCTGGTAACTTCCATGCCAAGCCAGACTGTTACCCCTATAAAGAGTTTCTGTTTGAGGGTTTTGTGTTTGTTTTTAATTATCAAAGTTTAAGACTTCTGAGATTTCACATAAAGTTTAGATTTCTGGCTTCTCTGGAAAAAAGGTAGGGTCGAGTGCCGTGGCTTACACCTGTAATCCCAGCACTTTGGGAGGATCACCGGAACCTCAGAGTCGGAGGCTGCAGTGAACCATGGTCACACCAGGGCACCCCAGTCTGCACAGCAGAGCCAGACCCTGCCTCAAGAAAGAAAGAAAAAAGGAGAAGCTCTGGCTGTACCAGAGCCATAGTCTAACACTGAGACATGAGCAGGACCTGAGCACTGGCTGTGCCCTTTCAATCAGATATGTGCTCTCCAGTTCCTACAGTCCTTTCCTGGCCCCCTTCAATCTTGTACTTTACCTGCTTACCCCCCAGAAAGCAGTCAAGGTTGTGATCCCAGCTTTAGGGTACTGTGATTTTGGGCATTGTTCTGAACTCACAGAGAAAACGGTCAATTTATATTTGCTGGTGTTTCAATACATACCCATCTCTTAAAAAGAGACCACATGAATTAAAGGGTCAAAGCCCGGAATGCTAATCATTTCTTTCTATTCTTACAGCTCGGCCTTCTCCCTGGGTTCCTGCCCTTGCTGATGAATGGAACATCCTAGATCAGGAAGTGACAACCACACGGCTTCCTACTGGGTCCCAGGTACATTGTAATTGTCATTGTCTTTTTTTTTTTGAGATGGAGTCTCACTCTGTCACCCACGCTGGAGTGCAGTGGTGTGATCTCAGCTCACTGCAACCACCTTCGCCTCCCGAGTTCAAATGAATCTCCTGCCTCAGACTCCTGAGTAGCTGGGACCACAAGTGCATGCCACCACACCCAGCTAAGTTTTAGTATTTTTAGTAAAGATCGTGTTTCACCATGTTGGCCAGGCTGGTCTCAAACTCCTGACCTCAAGTGACCTGCTCACCTCGGCCTCCTTAAGTGCTGGGATTACAGGTGTAAGCCACCATGCCCAGTCATAATTATCTTCTCTGGCCTTCCTTACGAGGGTGTTTAGCACAATGCCTTTCTGTGCCTTCACTGTCCTCAGATTTGTATACTCCCCACAAGAGACTTTTTCCCCTTTATTCCTTTTCCCCATAAGATGAGACTCAGTCTTCTGAGTAATGAGACTTCTTGCTGGATCATCTTGCTTATCTTGTCATTTTATGATGCTTTATCTTCTGCTTCATCTGGCACATACTATCCACTTGTTCCTTGATTTCAGTTCTTCTTTAGGGTCCCTCTCTGCCTCATCCATGGTTATTCATCATTTGAAGACCTGTGCAGTTATCTTGGTAGTCATTGATGTTAGTGTCGTTACAGGAACCTGTGAAAGATGTCCACGTGCCAAGAGGCTTTTCCTACAAAAAGAGTGTGCATCAGATTCCTGCCCACAGGGGCCTCTACCGGGATTTCAGGAAGGAAAACGTTGGGAACGTGGTCTCCCTGGGTAAGGACTCCTCCCCTTTCCAAATAAAAGACTTGGGGCTTTCTAATATATTCATATCTACTGATTAGAAGATAGGTATAAATGTTAACACTTAAAGGATCTCTAAGGATTATCTAGTGTAATCACTTAGCCAGGTTCTCTTCCCTCACCCATTCCTTCTTCCAGTAAAAAAATCACAATTTAGTGATTAAGACATTAGAGAGGAGTTATATATGACTATCATATTTGTATTCTATAAAATGGGATAGTACAGTAAATGGTATTATTCCCTAGGAAACTGAGGCTTAGCGAGCTTAAGAAACTTTCCCTAGTCAAAAAGGAAAGTAAGCAATGTAGCTAGGATTCAAATTTACAAGATGTTCATCTCTTTTTGTATTCTAAGCTAGCAAATTCTCAATTTGCTTTCTGTTCTTAATAACACTTTCCTATTAACCTTACCAAAATGTCTCCAGAAGTTCTTTTTTTAAATTAATGAAATATTTTATTAATGAAATATTTTGTTTTCAATAAATACTTATGAAAATATATTTGTACCAATAATTTTCAAATGTGAAGTCACAGATTATTTTTCCCCTTCATGTAATGGAAGAATGGCTTTCAGTCTCTTTTGCAGAGAAAGACATCTTTGATGTGTCTCAGGACCACAAAGCTATAATAAGTTGTAAGGCTTTTTACCCCCCACCCACAACCTCCTTAAGCAAAACAATTGGATTTTATTTCTTTGATATATGTATTTGTGGGTTCCTGTAAGTTTTTGTTTGCAATTTAGGTTCTTCTGCCAAATTTTTTTCAGCTTTATTGGGGTATAAATAAATTTAATATTTATTAAATATATGCAAATAAGGCCAGGTGCAGTGGCTCACGCCTGTAATCCTAGCACTTTGCGGGGCCAAAGCAGGCAGATCGCCCAAGGTCAGGAGTTCAACACAAGCCTGACCAACATGGTGAAACCCCGTCTCTACTAAAAATACAAAATTAGCTGGGCATCGTGGCACATGCCTGTAATCTTAGCTACTTGGGACTTGGAAGGCTGAGGCAGGAGAATAGCTTGAACCCAGGAGGCAGAGGTTGCGATGAGTCAAGATCACACCATTGCACTCAAGCCTGGGCAACAAGAGTGAAACTCTGTCTCAAAAAAAACAAAACAAAAAAATATATCTACATATATATGTGCAAATAAAATTGTGTATATTTAAGAATGTCATATTACCACTTGATTTTATGTACATATACATTGTAAAATAATTACCATATTTGAGTTAACACATCCATCACCTCACATAGTTGTGTACGTGTGTGTTGAGAACATTTAAGATCTACTGTCTTAGTAAACTTCAAGTATACACTATAGCATTATTAACTGTAACCATCATGCTGTATAATTAGAATGTATTAATCTTATAACCAAAAGCTTATACCCTTTGACCAATATCTCCCATTACCCAAGCCCCTGGCAACCACTACTCTCTTCTCTCTTTCTGCAAGCTCAGCATTTTAGATTCCACATGTGAGATCTTATTAGTCTTCCTCTATCTGGTTTACTTCACTTAGCACAGTGCCCTCCAAGTTCATCTGTGTTGTCACAAATGGCATAATTTCCTTCTTATTTTTGTTTTGAGATGGAGTCTTGCTCTGTCACCCAGGCTGGAGTGCAGTGGTGCAATCTCAGCTCACTGCAACCTCCACCTCCCAGATTCAAGCAATTCTCCTGCCTCAGCGTCCCGAGTAGCTGGGACTACAGGCGCCTGCCACCAGACCTGGCTAATTTTTGTATTTTTAACAGAAACAGGGTTTCACCATGTTGGTCAGGCTGGTCTCAAACTCCTGACCTTGTGATTCACCCACCTCGGCCTCCCAAAGTTCTGGGATTACAGGCATGAGTCACTATGCCCGGCCTCCTCCTTTTTTATGACTGACTAGTACTTCATTTATTTTTCCTGTATTTTCACACTTTCAATATTCATTCATTCTTCAGCAGATGCTTGGGTTGTTTCCATGTCTGGACTCTTGTGAATAATGCTGCAATGAACACAGGAGTGCAGCTGTCTCTTCGAGATGCTGATTTTGTCTCCTTGGGATATGTAATATAAATGGGATTGCTGGATCATACTGTAGTTCTGATTTTTTGAGGAGCCTTCCTAATGTTTTCCATAATGGCTGTACCTGTTACATTCCCACCAGCGGTGCACAAGGATTCCCTTTTCTCCACAACCTTGTTATCATTTGTCTTTTTTTAATTGACAAATAATAATTATATATGTTTATGGGATACAGTGTGATGTTTTGAGACATGTTCACATTGAGGAGTTACTAAATCAAGCTAATTAACAAATCCATCACCTCAGCCAGGTGCAGTGTCTCACACCTGTAATCCCAGCACTTTGGGAGGCCGAGGCAGGTAGATTGCCTGAAGCTAGGAGTTCGAGAGCAACCTGGCCAACATACTGAAACCACATCCCAGGTACTCAGGAGGCTGAGGCAGGAGAATCACTTGAACCCAAGACGCGGAGGTTGCAGTGAGCTGAGATCGAGCCACTGCACTCCAGCCTGGGCAACAAAGCAAGACTTCCGTCTCAAAAAAAAAAAAAAAAAAAAAAAAAAACCCATCACCTCACATACTTATTTTGCTATGGTGAAAATATTTAAAACCTACTCTTTTAGGCCAGTCCCAGTGGCTCACGCCTGTCATCCCAGCACTTTGGAAGGCTGAGGCAGGCAGATCACCTGAGGTCAGGAGTTTGAGACCAGCCTAGCCAATGTGGCAAAATGCCTTCTCTACTAAAAATTCAAAAATTAGCCAGGTGTGGTGGCAGGCACCTGTAATCCCAGCTACTTGGAGGCTGAGGCAGGAGAATCACTTGAACCCAGAAGGCAGAGGTTATAGCGAGTCGAGATTGTGCCACTGCACTCCAGCCTAAGCAACAGAGTGAGACTCTCTCAAAAAATAAATTTACTCTTTTAGCAATTTTGAAATAGACAAAGCATTACTACGTGTTATAGTCACTACTCTATATAATAGATTGCTAAAGTTTATTCCTTCCATCTAACTGAAATTTTGCACGCCTTGATCAAATCTCTACTTTCACCATCCTCCCTTCTCCTCGCCCAGCTTCTGGTAACTACCTTCTACTCTCTACTTCTATTAGTTGGACTTTTAGATTCCATCAAAAAAGTGAGATACGTGATATATGTCTTTTCTGTGCCTGGCTTACCTTAGTTAACATAATGTCCTCCATCCACATTGTTGCAAAAGGCAGAATCTTCTTCGTTTTTAAGGTGGAATAGTATTCCATTTTGTATATAGACCACATTTTTTTTTTTTTTTTGAGATGCAGTCTCGCACTGTCACCCAGGCTACAATGCAGTGGCGCAATCTCAGGTCACTGCAACCTCTGTCTCCCAGGTTCAAGTGATTCTTCTGCCTCAGCCTCCCAAGTAGCTGGATTACAGGTGCCCACCACTATACCCATCTAATTTTTTGTATTGTAGTAGAGACAGGGTTTCACTGTGTTGGCCAGGCTGGTCTCAAACTCCTGACCTCATAATCCGCCCTCCTTGGCCTCCCAAAGTGCCGGGATTACAGGTATGAGCCACTGCACCCTGCCTAGACCACGTTTTCTTTATCCATTCAGCCTCCTTGTTGTTTCCATATCTTAGCTATATATGAATAATGCTGCAGTTAACATGGTAGTGCCTCTTTGGCATACTGAATTTAATTCCTTTGCATATATACTCAGTAACAGGATTACTGGATCATGTGGTAATTCTATTTTTAGTTTTCTGTGGAACCTTTGCACTGTTTTCCATGATGATTCTTCCCAATTCACAGCCCTGCCAACAGTATTCAGAGGTTTCATTTTCTTCTCACCAACACTGCTTATTTTTGTCTCCTTGACGATAGCCATTCTGAAAGGTGATATCTCGTTGTGGCTTTGGTTTGCATTTCCCCTGACGATTAGTGATGTTGAGTACCTTTTCATGTACCTATTTGCCATTTGTATGTCTTCTTTGGGAAAATGTCTATTCATGTCCTTTGCTTATTTTTTAATGAGATTATTTGTTTAGTTTGTTGTTGTTGTTTTGCGACTGAATTGTAGGAGTTCCTTGTGTATTTCAGATAATGACCCCATAGCAGATAAGTGGCTTGCAAATCTTCTGTTCCATAGATTGTTTCATCACTTTGTTGACTGTTTTGTTGTTGTTTTGGATTAGGTTTTTTTGCTGTACAGAAGCTTTATAGTTTGATGTAGTCCCACTCATTTATCTTTGCTTTCATTGCCTGTGCTTTGATGTCATATCCAAAAAAATTATTGCCAAGACCCATGTCAAGCAGCTTTATCCCCTGTGTTTTCTTCTAGGAGATTTATGGTTTCAGGTCTTTCATTTAAGGCTTAATCCATTTGAGTTCATTTTTGTGACTCATGTGAGACAGGGGTCCAGTTTCTTTTGCATCTGGATATTCAGTTTTCCCAGCACCATTTATTGAAAAGATGACCTTTTCCCAGTGATGTGTTCTTGGCACTCTGTTAAAGTTTGTTTAGCCATATATGCATGGATTTCTATTCTGTTCCACTGGTCTTTGTGTCTGTTTTCATGCCAGTGCCATACTGTCTTGATTACTATAGCTTTATAATATAGTATAACAAAAAATTCTTGACTTCTCATCTCTTATAGTTCCAGTGTGTATACGTATATGTATGTTGGCGTGGGCATGGAGGGGTTGTGGGGAAGAGATACGCTTTATTTTATAACTAACAAATACTGAGTAGGAACATACCCTGAACCTAACACAGTGTTACCCACTGAGAGAGAATCAAAAGTTAAAAATATATATTCTTATCCTTAAAAGCTTTCCTGTAAGAACTAGATAAGAAAAGAAATGGTACATGCATGAGAAGTAAAATAATCATGTATGTTAGTAGACGTTTGTACCAAGGAAGACATGTAAAAGTAAAGCAGTGTCACAGTTGAGGAAGGTTTGGGTGTGAACAAGCAGCCCAGGAAAGCATGCGACAGCAGAAGATTGAGGCATGCAGTAATGACTTCTATATCTACCATGAAATATATTTATTTTACTACAGGAAGTACAGTGTCTACATCTAACAGGATAACCCGGTTGGAACAGAGAAAGGAGCCATGGACTCTAGGCCTGCATTCCTCTAATAAGAAAAGTACCCTACGAAGCAACTACATCAAGGAAAAGTCAGTTCATACTATTCAGGTCCCTGCAAGGAGTGCAGGAAAAACATGGAGAGAGCAGCAGCAGTGGGGTTTAGAAGATGAGAAGATAGCAGGTGTGCATTGGAGCTATGAGGAAACGAAGACTTTCCTGACAATTCTCAAAGAGTCTCGCTTTTATGAAACACTTCAAGCCTGTCCCCGAAATAGCCAGGTATATGGTGCTGTGGCTGAGTGGTTGCGAGAATGTGGCTTCCTTCGAACCCCAGAACAGTGTCGAACCAAGTTCAAAAGTCTCCAGAAAAGCTATCGAAAGGTGAGGAATGGCCACATGCTAGAACCCTGCGCCTTCTTTGAGGACATGGATGCTCTGTTGAACCCTGCAGCCCATGCTTCATCCACTGATAAGCCAAAGGAGATGATACCACTCCCCAGACTGAAGAGAATTGCAATCAGTGCTAAGGAACACATCAGCTTGGTGGAGGAGGAGGAAGCCGCAGAAGATTCTGATGGTGTTGAAATGGGCGTCGAATTTATCCGCAAGTCTGAAATCCGTGGTGCCCCTGTCTTGTTTCACAACTTAAGTGGTAAGAATTGTGCTTTTTTATCTGGTAAGAAAACAGATGTGTGGTCTTGTGGAATAAGGAGTAGACCAGAAGTGACTAAACCCAGGGGGTGCTGTTACACACACCTCACCACTTTCACTGTCCAGTGGCCACATAACTGAAGTGCTCTCAGGTGCTGCCCCCAGTGCATCACAGTGACAGCTCCAAGCACTGATGGAGGAGTCATTTTCACTTTAGAGCACAGCATGGATTTTGAGTATTTGGGTCTTTGTGGAAGGAAGATAATTGGAGTTAAAGGGTTCTCAGGATCTATTATTATCTGATAATTGGCATAAAGCAATCAATTGTATTGGATTGTAATAAGTCAAATGGGCATTATTACATTATCTAAAATAACCAGTAAAAAATTATGTGACAGATTCAAAGAGAGTTAAAAATGAAATAAACTTTTTTTCCTTAATCTAAAAGACAAGAAAGGAGAGAAAAAAGAATACAAAATAGATTAGTCAGATGGAAAAAAAATAAGATATAAATCCAAATATATCATTAATTACAAACTTAAAAGGCTAAGATTATCAGACATTAATTGCTTATAAGAGATCCATCTTAGATATAATACAGAGACATTAAAATTAAAAAGGCAGACAGAGAACATGCAAAAGAAAACTGGTATTAAATATTTCGTGACTCAGACATGCAGAATTAGATCACCAGTTAGTAACTGTGTGACAGTAGACACATCACTTAACTACTTTGAGCTTCTATTTTCTCATCTGTAAAATATGACTAAGAATACCTCGTAGGGTTGTTATTAGTGTTAAATAGGATCATATAAATGAAGGCACTGTGAAAATGCTAAAATACAATACGACATTGCCTGGTATCACTGTTATTAGTAATGTTTCTTTACTCCAGCTAGAGATAAATGCTTTTTTTTTTTTTTTTTGAGACAGTGTCTTACTCTGTCACCCAGGCTGTAGTGCGGTGGCACAATCTCAGCTCACTGCAGCCTCTGCCTCCTGCATGGGTTCAAGCAGTTCTCCTGCCTCAGCCTCCTGAGTAGCTATGCTTACAGGTCCCACCACCACCAAAACTTAGCCACACCTGGCTGGTCTCAAACTCCCAACCTCAAATGATCTGCCCACTTCGGCCACCCAAAATGCTGGGATTGCAGGTATGAGCCACCACACCCAGCCTATAAATTCTTACATAGAATGGAAAACTAAATCAGGCTAAGGAACGTATTCATGATTACCACTGTTCAAAAGAAACTGGCTGGATGCAGTGGTTCATACCTGTAATTCTAGCACTTCAAGAGATTGAGCTGGTAGGATGCCTTGAGGCCAGGAATTCAAGATCAGCCTGGGTAACACAGCGAGACTCGGTCTCTACAAAAAATAAAACAGCCAGGTATGGTGGCACACTCCTATAGTCCCAGGTACTCAGGAGGCTGAAGCGAGAGGATTGCTTGAGCCCAGGAGTTAAAGCTTTAGTGAGCCATGATCATGCCACTGCAGTCCAGCCTTGGCAAGAGAGTGAAATTCTGTCTAAAAAAATTAAAAATAAACATCTGCTAAGATGGGAAGAAGCATTATGCCTAGACAGGTCTCACCAATCAGAAAATCCATAAACAGGCTGGGACTCTTGGGGAGGTCTCAAATATGGGAATCCAGTCATAGGCCTGGAAGAGCCACCTGGTAAGATAGAGGATAGAGATTTTTCCCACTATGGATTACAAAACATACAAAAAGCATGTCTTACAAATTATATTTAGACATGCCCTGAAAAGTTTTATTCTGCTATAAATGTAGAACATAATTTTGTCTTGCAGATCATTTGATCTCAAAAGTAGAACACTCAATGACATCGAAAAACTACTCTGAACATAGTCCTGCTCTTCAAGGAAGACTGGCTACAGGAGTGCTAGGAAATTTGAGGGGAAAGTTCCCATTGGAAGTTCTAGTCATTATTCTTAACCACTTTGGAAAGGCACTTTTAGAGAACTAAATCATTTAGTTAATCACCATAATAGTGGCAGATTTGGGGGACTGCATTTTTATTCTTCCAAATAAGCTTTAAAATTAGTTTACCAATTTCGATTTTAAAAATCCAATTGGGATTTTGACTATAGAATCATATGAGAAATGGTATCTGTACAATTTGAGTCTTCCTATTCATAAACAGTGTCTCCTTTTTTTCTAGTTTTATGATATTGCACATTTTTATACAGACTTTCTCATTTCTTGCAAAGCTTATTCCTAGGCATATGGTAGTTCCTATTGCCACTGTAATTGGGATTTTTTTTTAACCTCTACATTTTTGTAATGCATATAGTATGGAGGCTACAGACTTTTTTTCTTTCTTATATTGTGAACCTTATTCCCGAATGGCAGGTGTGCACTGGGGCTATGAAGAAACCAAGACTTTTCTTGATATCCTCCGTGAGACTCGGTTTTATGAAGCACTTCAAGCCTGTCATCGGAAGAGCAAATTGTATGGGGCTGTAGCTGAACAACTTCGAGAGTGCGGCTTCCTTCGGACACCAGAACAGTGCCGAACCAAGTTCAAAAGCCTTCAGAAGAGTTACCGCAAGGTGAAAAATGGCCACGTGCTAGAGTCCTGTGCATTCTACAAGGAGATGGATGCCCTGATTAACTCTAGGGCACCTGCTTCTTCCCCCAGCACCCTAGAAGAAGTCCTATCACCTTCAAGGCAAGAAAGAGAAGGTATTGAGGTTGAACCCCAGGAACCTACAGGCTGGGAACCTGAAGAGACCTCACAGGAGGCAGTAATAGAAGACTCATGCAGTGAGAGAATGAGCGAGGAGGAAATTGTACAAGAGCCAGAATTCCAGGGACATCCAGGTGGGTCTGCTGCAGAGCCCAAATGGTAAGGGGCAAAACCAAAGAGTTTTAGTCTAAAAGAGGAGTACGTGTTATTTACTGAAAAATCAGTATATCTTGGCTATAGCTCATGAATATTCTTTCATTCAACAAATATTTGAGTGCCTGTGCTACTTGAAGCACGGGGGATATAGCAATGAATAAAACAGTTCCTGGCCAGTCATGATGGCTCACACCTGTAACCCCAGCACTTTGGGAGGCTGAGGCAGGTGGGTCACCTGGGGTCAGGAGTTGAAGACCAGCCTGGCCAACATGGTAAAACCCTGTCTCTACTAAAAATACAAAAACTAGCCAGGCATGGTGGTGGGCACCTATAATCCCAGCTACTTAGGAGGCTGAGGCAGGAGAATCACTTGAACCCCAGAGGCACAGTTTGCAGTGAGCCAAGATTGTGCCACTGCCCTCCAACCTGGGCAACAGAGTAAGACTCCATCTGAAAAAAATAAACAAACAGTTTCTGTTCTCATGGTTCTTCTATCCAAAGGAGAAACTCACATTGGAATAACTCAGTCCTTGGGATCTCAGCCTTGGTTCTTGTTGGTATGGGTCAGACAGTGTTTTGTATCTCCTGGAAATGCCATGGGGAAGAAAAACTTGGAATTACACATGAGAAAAAACTGGGGTGAAGGAAGTGTGTCAGTAGGCACAAAACAATAACATTTTACAGTTATGTGTGGTGTGCAAGACAGAAAAGATAGGCAGAGACAACATGAGAGACTATTCTGGTCCTGAGCTCCACCTGCATGTTTCCCACTGACTTATGCCCTCGTGGGCCTCTCACTAGTAACTCAGGCTTAAGATGTCCAAAACTAACATCACCCTCTTCCTTAACACTCCATGGTTCTTCCCTGTGGTCTCCTGCCCTCATCCAGACTGAAAACTTTAGAGATGATCTTGACACCTTCTTGCTCATCATTAACATCCATGCAGATGACATGTTTTGTCAGCTGTTACAGACTGTCACGTCTATCTGTCCCCTCTTCAGTTACCATCAGCCACTGTCTAGTTCAGTCTTCTCTCTCTTTCCTAGACTGTTATAAAAGCCTCCAAACCAGTTTTCCCCACCCATACTTTTACTAAGGTTTCACAGCCATTTTTGATCTGAGCCTGTCTTACTCTTCTAGCCTACATGTTAGTATTTTCTTCCTCAACTCTATGCTTATTCAAAGCAAAACTACTGGCTACTTCCTACACACCTCAAGCCCTTTGACATCGAGACGTTAGCTTGTGATGTTCCCTCTACCTTGAATGTCTTCGGCTCTGCATATCTCCATGTCCAAATTCTCTCTTACCTCCCATACTTTGTCCCTCTCTGAACACTTTGTATGTAAGATCTTCCAGACACAGTGAGCTCCTGTAGAACAGGAGCTCCATCTTCCCATATTACTACATTAAGCCCCCAGGCATCAGTTGAACATGTGGGATAATTCAGAACTAGTTTATTGAAGCAAGTGACTTTAGTTTAGTATAAATATGGGAAATTATAGTATGAAGGCTTGAATTAAGTCCTATAGAATCCTGGCTTTAATAACTCTGGAAACAAAGTCCTTGTGAATCGTTTTTAAGGTGAGCTCCAGACCTATCATCAAATTATCAAGCTCCTCTGTGCCAACTGTTAGACTGTGTCTTCCTCCAAGTCCCAGAACAATGTTGGACTCAATCAGAAAACTTCAAAAGAAGTACTGACAGGCCAGGTGTGGTGGCCCACACCTGTAATCCTAACACTTTGAGAGGCCAAGGTGGGAGGATCACTTGAGCGCAGGAGTTTGAGACCAGCCAGGGCAACGTAGACCCCATCTGTACAAAAACTAAAAAGTTAGCTGGGCGTGGTAGTGTGCTCCTGTAATCCCAGCAACTTGAGGGACTGAGGTTGGAGGATCACTTGAGCCTGGGAGGTCAAGGCTGCAATGAGCTATGATCATGCCACTGCACTCCAGCCTGGGTGACAAAAAAAAGTACTAATAAGTGAAAAATGCAATCGTTAGGGCTTTTTATTTAAGTGATTAGATTGATGGCTGCCCTCTTCTCCCCATTCCATGCCTCCTCACTTGGGATTGAGAGTTATCTGTGGTTCCCACTGAAGGTGTAAAAGGAAAGTAATGTTGAAACTAGCAATAGAAACAAGTCCGGAGAGGAGATGCTTAAGAATAAGGATTTGGTAATCAAATCAGCCTGGATTGAGCCTAAGCTACACAGCTTTTGAAATGTTTATGGATGAAATAATGTGATGTCTAGAAATGGCTTCAAAGTAGTCTGGGTGGAGGGAGCAGAGAGTGTGAGGGAACAGAAATGAAATGGGCTTGGCCATGCATAGGTCATAGTTAAATGTAGTTAAGTGGTTCGTGGGAGCTTTTTATGCATACTATTCTCCAGACTTTTCTGTGTGTTTGAATTTTCCATAATAAAAGTTAATGACTGACCAAGATGGGACCAGACCCAGAGCTGTGTAATTCCAAAGCTTGTCTCTCTTACCATGTCATGCTCTCTGTCCAGAAAACTTCACAGAAAATCTGGATCCAAGATGTACCTTGTAGTGAACGTGGGATGTAAATGAAAAGAGTGAGAAAATAATTCCAATCTGGGGAGCAGTGAGAATTAAGATTTCAGTTAGTGTGGTTTATGGGACAGCCTGAAACAAAGAAAGAAGAACATTTGAGAAAAAAGCATTCTTGGTTGGGATATGATTAGATACATAGAGAAATTTAGCTCCTCAAGTCTCTCAAGGAACTTGGACTTGGTCAGAATCTAAAGACCAGTGTAGTGTAGTGTACTTTAGTATAGAGGTGAAATAATGAAAATAGGATGAATTAGAGTGAACTTCAGGGAGATAAGCCAGGTTGCCCCCATGTCAGTTGGGATATGGTTGGGGAATCATGGCTTTGATTATAATCCAGGAAACATTTCTGAAGGTCTACTCTGTACTGGCTGTTATTGGCCTGTTTATGAATGGAAAGAAATACAGTAGAATGAATCAGGGAAGAGTCACAGGATCTGAGACTAGAGAAGTGTGTGGAGATCATAACTGATCAAGGCTTGCAGGCCAGGTTGTTGATGTTAATATCAGACTTGTATGAAATTTGTATTGTCTTTTGTTTTTTCAGATTTTGAAATTGGAAGTAGCATCAAGGAGGATCCAACACAGATAGTATATAAGGACATGGAACAGCATAGGGCATTAATAGAAAAGTCTAAAAGAGTTGTTTCCCAGAATACCGACCCCAGCAAATATCGTAAAAGGGAATGCATCTCAGGAAGACAATGGGAAAATCTTCAAGGAATTAGACAAGGAAAGCCGATGTCTCAGCCTAGAGATTTAGGGAAAGCTGTTGTGCATCAGAGGCCTTTTGTGGGGAAGAGACCCTACAGACTTCTAAAATACGGAGAAAGCTTTGGAAGGAGCGCTCGTCTGATGTGCCGGATGACCCACCACAAGGAGAATCCTTACAAGTGTGGTGTCTGTGGGAAGTGCTTTGGTAGAGGCAGGAGCCTGATCAGACACCAAAGAATCCACACAGGAGAAAAACCTTTTAAATGTCTTGACTGTGGGAAAAGCTTTAATGACTCCTCAAATTTTGGTGCCCACCAGAGAATTCACACAGGAGAGAAACCCTACAGATGCGGAGAGTGTGGAAAATGCTTTAGTCAAAGCTCCAGTCTTATTATACATCAGAGAACCCACACTGGTGAGAAGCCCTATCAGTGTGGAGAGTGTGGGAAAAGCTTCACCAACAGTTCTCATTTCAGCGCCCACCGGAGAGTCCACACTGGGGAGAATCCCTACAAATGTGTGGACTGTGAAAAAAGTTTCAATAACTGTACAAGATTTCGAGAACATCGGAGAATACACACTGGAGAAAAGCCTTATGGATGTGCTCAATGTGGCAAACGTTTCAGTAAGAATTCTGTTCTTACCAAACACCGGGAAGTTCATGTGAGAGAAAAGCCTCTGCCGCACCCTCCATCTCTGTATTGCCCTGAAAACCCACATAAGGGAAAGACTGATGAATTTAGGAAAACTTTTTGATGATGATCTTGTCTTCCTAAACGCCCCTTTAGCCATCCTACCCTAATCTCATTCTTGGAAGCAATTTTTTCTTAGCTATGGAGTGTAATTCCCAAGATAAACTTGAGAATGTAAATAAACTAGACATTTTCATCCTGTTCTCACCTCTGCCTCTAACTTGATCAGTCTGTTCCTCTTCTTCTGTGTCTCAACTTCTCCTTTAAGAATGTGGAGAAGATACATTGTCTGAGTTTAGAATGAATACTCTTCAGTATGTTCAGGCCACTGCAACTGGATTGCTAAGTTTGGCAACATTCAAGATCCTTCCATGTGGTTGACAGTTGTTTTCAAGGATATAAAAAATGCCAAAAGTGTTTTTGTTGTTGTTACCTACTCCATGAGATCCTGGATTCAACTTGATAAGATTCTCACATTTGGGTAGAACTTTGAGGAGTCTGATCAGAACTAATCAAATCCATCTTGGTTTTGAAGATATCCACAAAAGAAGAGTGAAGATTTTATAGCTTTCCTCAGAAGTCTGTTAGAGTGTACCTTTTTTCATGTCAAGAAGTGGATCCAAATAGCTAGGGCAGAAACCCTGTATTGTCACTAAAATCCTGTTACTAATGCCTTGCCCTCCATGGAGATGAGAAGTAGTTCTTCACCCCCCATCCTTTTCTGTACCTGAAGACTTCAGTCCCCTTGGCTGCTGCTTCTCCGGCCTATAAGTAATCCCAGGTCCTTGTACTGTTTCTTATAGCCCTGCACTTACCTCTCAGTTGCTCTGGGTGCTCCTGCTGGCCTCTTCTGAGTTACTGTGCCCTTCTCAGATGGAATAGGAGGCCTGTTCATGGTATGTCTTACTAAAGCAAAGCAAAATTTCAGACACTTTCTAGTTCTATCCTCTAACTTTTCTGGCTCTTAATCTGGAACGTGACTTACATGTTGGGATATTTTGTACCTCCCACCCCCACGCTGCAGTATAATATTTTAATAGTGTTTCTAAAACTTTAAGGGAATAGGGCAGAGGTGATAGACACCTGAAACATTTCTAAGACTGGTTGGACTTTATTGGCCTGCTGTAGATCAGAGAGCCACCTCAGTTCAGACCAGCGCTCTCAGGGCCTGCTGTTAAATCTCCCAGTCTCTATTCCTGAGGCTTCTAGTCCCTGTTCTCCACATCAGAAACCTAACTAGAGCTCACTGGGTGAAAAGTGGGAACATTTTTAAAAACTTGAATCCAGAAATCCAGAACACTGTTTTCGTTTTCCTCATTTACCTGTTCATCTGAAAAATCTCTTGGAGAACTCCCTGCAGTAACCCAGTAAACACTGAAGGAAGTTCTGATGGGGGATGGTTACTTCACTTTTGAAGTTACAGATGAAACCCAGGAATTTTATTTTCCAGGAGCATTTGCTTCAGGATGGAGCCAGTGACATTTATTCCCTTAGTATGTAGGTAACCCAGGGTGGCTTTGCTTTGGCAAGGGAGAAATCACAAGTTTAGTGGAAAGAGAACCGGAGTCAGGGCTGTTTGTAGGTGATTATTTTGCTCTTATCTCTCCCTTTCTTGTCAAATGCTCTTATTTGAAGCCATCTGGAGATGACATTTTTCCTTTCAGTATGTTTCAATCTTTTGAAACTTGTTCATCAAAGTACCTAGGAGGATAGGCGCTGTAGAAAAAAATTAATTTAAGGTGCCAGAATAGGGTATGGCCTGTTGGAAGGCAGGTGACTCAGGTAAACATTGCTAAATGTTTCTGATTTATGTTTGTTGGAAATGTTGTGATCACATCTCAATAGGTTGATTTTTCTGTGTCGTCTAAATTATAGATTTCTAATGCTAAATACAGTTCCATGTTGGTGGTGTGCCTAACACAGTAAGATGTGTGTGGTGCCAGTGGGTTTGTGTTTATATTGTGTAGATGTTCTGGAATTCCAGCTTTAGCGAAGATGCACATTAATAGAAATCACTACTTAGTAATATGTATACAGGATTGATATTATATTGAAGCATGATTCAGGAAAGTAGATGACTTATTCATAAATATGAAGCACTGTTACATGTAAGGCCATGTTCTAGCCACAGTGAGGGATACAGAAAGGAACGAAGAGGGCCAGGTGTGGTGACTTACGCCTATAATCACAGCACTTTGGGAGGCTGAGGCAGGAAGACCATCAGGTCAAGAGATCAAGACCATCCTGAGCAGCAAAGTGAAACCCTGTCTCTACTAAAAAAAAAATACAAAAATCAGCCAAGTGTGGTGGTGGAGGCTTGTAATCCCAGCTACTTGAGAGGCTGAGGCAGGAGAATCACTTGAACCCGGGAGGCGGAGGCTGAAGTGAGCCAAGATCACGCCACTACACTCCAGCCTGGTGACAGAGCAAGAGTCTGTCTCAANAAAAAAAAAAAAAAAAAAAAAAAGGAATGAAGGGGCATGGTGCCTGGACTCAAGGAACTCACAGTTTGATAGAGGAAGTATCACAGCAAAAGGTAGGGCCACTTACACTATGACCGTTACAAAAGGCCAGGAGCTCAGTCATGAGAACATCACCTTCACTTGCAGAAGAGTTTTGCTAAGTTGCCCAGAATCGTATTCTGTACCTTCACAGCAACCTTCCCCAGTGGCAGGAAAGGGTCAAGACACATTCCGTCTCTAGTGGGACAAACTGATTCTATTTAATTCTCATATGCCTGGGAGCAAGCTGAGGTGGAATTTGAGTTCCCCACCGCTTTTCCTAATTGTAAACGGGCTGTCTGGACGTTTGATGAACTTTGTTCTGAAGAAATAGAAGGTCCACCCACCGTTCTAGACCAACACTACTTGTCTCTCTTCATTTCATCTTTTTTCACCTGGTACATGTAAGTCAGAATGAATCAATGTTCTCATCAATGTGTCTTTTATACCACATAGCATTGCCTTTATGAAGATTCATAGAAAAAGGTTTTTTTCTAGATCTCAGTACCAAGGAAAGCTTTGATCCTAAGCGCAGTATACATGTGTGTGTGTGCATATATATATATGCACACACACACAAACACACATATGTCTATATATGTGTGTAGATCTGTATGTATGTATTATAAACACTGTGATTTTTATAACTTAAGCTGCTTTTTCTCTCTTTGTTCTGGCTGCTGGAAAGCTCAACAAAACTTATAGCCCACCTCAACCAACTACCCCAAACTATATTTATTTAAATTTATCTTATTTCTTTGGAAATTGTGTCAAGTCCTCTTTTTGAAAAGCAGTATAAACTGACTTTTTTTTCACTATCATCAAAGGCATTTTGGAAACTGGGCTTGTATGTCCTACCTAGGCTTGCTTTGTTACTGCCACAGATACCTCCAATTCTTACCAATGATGTTATACATTCAACCTAATTCATTCATCTGGAAAAAAACAGTTTTTAAAGAGGAAAACCTCACACATAAAAAGCTCAGGGCAGCCTACTTTGGTGGAATGAGCATGAGACCAGAGGCTCAAAGAGCCAAGTTTTAGTCTTATCATTACTTAATGAGTGTTGTTTGACACATCATAGCCTCTCTGGGCCTCGGCTCCTCATCTGAAGAGAAGTTGAACTTGATTGCCAAGTTGCTCCGGCTCTAATGTTTCATGAGACTGGGGAGCGTGATATAGATGCCGAAGAGGTTAGAAGACTAGGCTGCTGGCCCGGCTTGCCTGTGCTTACCACATCTGGCCATGCCAAATCCATTTCATGCTTTAGGAAAGGGAAGGTATGCTGTGACAGCAAAGTCAGCCCAGGAGCTCGTTTGGGAAGGAGAAAGGGCAAGTCCCTCATGGTCCACAGGCAGGCAGCACCCCAGGCACCTCAATAGCCAGTGGCAGGTAGTTGAAGTGAAGGAAACCTCTGTCGGGAGGTCTGGAGCTCGGTGACAGACAAGACTCACCTGTGAGGGAGCTGGGGCAGACCCAGCTAAAGGAGTGTCTGAGTAACTTGTGAAACTATAAGCCTCTGCCTCTGAATGCATTCCAAGACCCAGTGCAAATGGATGTCAATTCATTGTTTTGTATCAGCGTTCACTTAGATGTCTTCTTGAAAAACTTGTTTGTGGAATAAATGTCTAAAATAAATGGCTCCCATTGGTTTCTGCCATAATTTGAAGGGCATCTTTCTATTAAGGGAAAAGATCATGTATCCAAGAAGTTGATAAAAGCTGATCCTCATAGCCAGAGAAAAGAATTCCAGTCTCATTCTAGTTCACTGCTCTCCCCGACAAGTAGTAGGGGTCTTCTGTGAGTCCACAGTCGTCTATGTGCAGCAGTCCTCTAGTAAGTATCGCTGCCATTGTCCCAGTAATGGTTGTCTCCAGTGCTAGGCGGTAATTACCCTTAGATACACATGCTGCCTGTTTTCCTGAGGCACTCCCCCGTAGATACAGTAACAAGAGAGGCAAAACTTTACTCTTGTAGGGTCTCTGGCTAGGCCTGAGGATTGAAGTAACACAAAATAAATAAGAGAAAAGAATACACGGGCGTGTCCGCAAGAAATTAAGACCCAAAGGAGTAGCAAAACCTAACTGTATTATGGATTGAACAAAGAGTCAGTTGTGGCAAAGTACTTAAAATATATGGGAGGACCAAAGGAAGATAAGGATTATTTTAACAAGGCCTGTACAGATTTCCCTCGGCCTTGCCTCCCCATCTTGTGATAAGAACGTTTCTTTCTTCCCGGGACAGGGAGGGTATCTTTACTTGGAGTTTCATCTTTTGCTTTCAGGAAGTAAAAGGGGAGTGAGAGTGCCCTGGGGCACCTGCTGTTTCTCAAGTCACTTTAGCTCAAGATAACCCTTATTCCAAAAAGTGGCACATACGGGGATGGCATCTTCTGTCATCCTTCAGTGTTGCTTTCGATTGACAGTTACAGCATACAGGAAGTGTTCCAGTGGCTTCCACTTAGCCCCTCCTACCATAACAATTCCAGCTCCATGGTCGTAAGGGCAAGGTAGAGATTTTGCAGAGTATCTGTTACTAGATGAGTACCCCTGTAGGTTTCTGTATTTTCCTTCAGTAAATGTCCACAAACCTTTTTGGCAAAAGCCAAGATCGTCATCTTCATGTGCTGTGAAGGGTTCTTCCACAGGGTTACCTGATCTCCCACTCCTTCACAGAGACTTAAGTCTCTGAACTTACTCAGGTGTGGGAATTGAATGAAAGACTTTAAGTCTCTAAGGGGGAAAAAAAATCTCTAAGGATTACAAATTTTCAATTCCTAAAAATCAGTTGAGGCGATTCGACATTAAAGGAGGAAAATGAATGCTTTGTGTTTCAAGCACTAAAGGGAACATAGCTCATCATAACCCCCAAACTCTGTGATGGGTCCAGGGATTGGAGGGGAAACAGTGGCTTTGGGTTCCAAGACAGGTAAATGTCTAACTCACTCTGAGGTGGTCGGACTCTGGAGGGGAAATACCGGTGGTGGTGGTGGTGGAGTGTGTAGGTATCTGGGGGGGCCAAGGGGAGAGGAGGGACGTAAAAAGCCATAAGCCTTGCTTGGATACGTGTGCAGAGTCCATGGCACATGCAAATGTGCTTGGCGTGGAAGTTGTGGAATTATATGTAAAGGAGCCCTCTTTGAAGACAAAGTCTTCGAAGCCGTCTTTGTGACTTTGCTGTAGTGTATACCATCTCTGAGAACCTCTTCAGCGCCATGTGGCAGCGGAGAGAACAGCAGCTGCAGGCACGAAGTAAAAATTTCCCTACGACAATATGCAAGGCATTTTGTTCCTAAAAATTGTTGTTGTTGTTGTTGTTTGTTGTTGTTGTATGAATGGATTCTCTTTCACCCAGGTTGGAGTGCAGTGGCACCATCTCAGCTCACTGCAGTCTCCACCTCCCAGGTTCAAGAGATTCGCCGGCCTCAGCTTCCCAAGTAGCTGGAATTACAGGCACCCGCCATCACACCCGGCTAATTTTCGTATTTTTAGTAGAGATGGGGTTTCGCCATGTTGGCCAGGCTGGTCTTGAACTCCTGACCTCAGGTGATCCACCCACCTTGGCCTTCCAAAGTGCTGGGTTTACAGGCGTGAGCCACCGCTCCCGGCCCATGAAGTATTAATAAAAGATTGGTACACTTCCCTTTTGGCTTGCTTAAACCCCCAGAGTTCTTGGAAATATACCCCTAGTAGGAATACTAGGATTCCCAACAACGTGGCATGTGAGGACCTCAACACAATACTGGCGAAAGGAAATGGCTCGGTACTTGTACCCCAAGGGTCTGGAGAACTAAGTACATACCTGTTGCAGTAGAAAGGGCCCTAGACTGTCCAGGATCCTGGATTCTAACGGCTCTGCTGCTTGACAGCTCTGTAATTACAGTCAAATTATTTAGCTTCTCTGGGTTTTGAAATCTGGTGTTGAACAGGATGAATGGGTTCCAACCTTTTCCCCTTGGGAGGCCCTAAAGGTCCCTATATGATAATACTTGACAGAAAAAATGTATATGTGCCACATCCATTCAGGAGTTTCTTGCAAAGGCTGGTAATCATGCCTATAATCCCAACACTGGGAGGCCAAGATGGGAGGATGGCTTGAAGACAAGAGTTCAAGACCAGCCTGGGCAACACAGTGAGACCCCATCTCTACAAAAAAATTTTTCTTTTTTTTAATTAGCAACTGTGGTGATGTACATCTGTAGCCCCAGCTACTCAGAAGGCTGAGGCTCAAGGATCGCTTGAGCCCAGGAGGTCGAGACTGCAGCAAGCTGTGATTGCACCACTGCACTCCATCCTGGGTGACAGAACAAGATGCTGTCTCTAAATAAAAGAAAAAGAAAGAAATTTCTTGCCAAACTCCACGCCTTGCCATGATTCTGATACGCGCAAATTGCAAAACCTTTTATTAGGTGATAATAAATATAAGAGCTGATACATTGTATACTTGCTTTTGCATTGAGCATTGTGCTAATGCTTTATAAACATTGTTAATTTTCATAAGCATTCTGAGGCCATATTTGCATTTTACAGATGAGAAAGCTGATGCTAAAGAAGTTCAATAGCTTCTTCAAGTACATACAGCAAAAAGGTAACAGTTCTGAGATTTAAACTTGAATCTTCCTCAGGATGTAAACTTACAGCCACCATATTTTACTATTGTAATAGAGTTTCTAGCTCTAACACCCAAAAACTCTGTGACCTCCTTGTTACTGAGAGAAAGGGAGCTGAGATAGAGGTGAACCTGGTGATCTGGACCAGTTTTGGATTTCACTCTGTAGGGTCAGAATGAATTTGGGAGTCACTGGGATCAGCCTATGCCATTCTTTCAGTCAATGAGTACTGAACCCCTTCTGGCCAGGTGCGATGGCTCACACCTGTAATCTCAGCACTTTGGGAGGCTGAGGTGGGTGGATCACTTGAGGTCAGGAGTTCAAGACCAGACTGACCAACATGGTGAAATTACGTCTCTACTAAAAATACAAAAATTAACTGGGCATGGTGGCACACACCTGTAATCCCAGCTACATGGGAGGCTGAGGCAGGAGAATTGCTTGAACCCGGGAGGCAGAGGTTGCAGTAAGCCAAGATAACACCTCTGCACTCCAGCCTCACTGAGTCCCTTCTATTCAGCGAACGCTAAACACATAATGTGCAGTTATTTAATACAAAGATGAATTTATATCCATCTTGCACTTGAGAGTCTAAAAATTAAAATGAAAGCGAGAACTTAAAATCCAATTGCATGTTTGAAATGAGAAGAGTTACAATGCATGTCTTTCTGTCTTCCTTTTTTTTTTTCTTCAGACAGAGTCTTGTTCTGTCTCCCAGGCTGGACTGCAATGATATAATCACAGCTCACTGCAGCCTCAGCCTCCCGAGCTCAAGTGATCCTCCAATCTCAGCCTCCCAAGTAGCTGGGACTACAGACACATGCCGCCATGGCTCTGTCCCCTTAATGAGGAACTAATAGGCAAGTAGGAGACTAGGCAAAGAACATAATATTGTCCCTTATTCAGAAACAGAAAAGTATGATGACAAAGATCATGGACGCTGCAGCCAGATATACCTGACTTTCAACAGTGGCGTCACCAATGCACTAACTGTGTAACTTAGCATAACGCCACCCTTTGGAACCTCCACTGGCTCCTTTGCAAAATGAGAATAATTAAAGAATCTACCTGTATTTGTTTCCTGGAACTGCTTGAACAAACACCGCAAACTTGGTGGCTTAAAATGACAGAAATTATTGTCTCTCCATTCTGGAGGCCAGAAAGTCTGAAATTAGAATGTCAGCAGATCCAGGCTTCCCAAGAAGGTTCTAGAGGAGAACCTTCCTTCCCTCTCCCAGCTCCTGGTGGCTCCTGGTGCTGTCTTTGGCAGCATAACCCCAACCGCTGCCTCGATCTTCATGTCGCCTTCTCCTTTGTGTCTCTGCACCTCCTTTTTCTGTCTCTTACAAGGAAAGGCCACCCTAATCCAGTAGGATCTCATCTTGACTTGTACCTTAATCACATCTGCCAAGACCCTATTTCCAAATAACACCACACTCTGAGACTGCAGACTGTCACGGATTTCGAGAGGACACTATTCAACCCACTGTACTATCTCATAGAATTGTCGTAGGGAGTAAATTACATAATGCGTGCAAAGCATTCAGCACAGTGCCTAATGTGTAACAAATGCCCCATAAATGTTAGCTATACACATGTAGGTATACATATATATGGATATATAACTTTTGTTATTTACTAGATTTGTCAAAGGTTTATTTCCCCAAACGAAATAGTAACTTTTAAGTTTTTACTCTCTTTTTATTTTATTCTGTGGCAGGGTCTCACTCTGTTGCCCAGGAGTGCAGGGGCAAGGTCTCAGCTCACTGCAACCTCTACCTCCCAGGTTCAAGCAATTCTCCTGCCTCAGCCTCCCAAGTGGTTGCCACCAAGCCTGGCTGATTTTTGTATTTTCACCATGTTGGCCAGGCTGCTCTTGAACTCATGACCTCAAGTGATCCATCCACCTCACCCTCCCAAGGTGTTGGAATTACTGGCATGAGTCAGAGCGCCCAGCCTTTTTTTTTTTTTTTTTGAGACAGGATCTCACTCTCCTGCCCAGGCTGGAGTGCACTGGTACTGCCATAGCTCATTGCAGCCCCAACCTCCCCAGCTCAAGCAATCCTCCCACCTCAGCCTCCCGAGTAGAGGAGACCACAAGCATTTTCCACCTACCCAACTAATTTTTTTTTTTCAAGTTACAGGGTCTTGCCGTGTTGTGTGGGATGGTCTCGAACTCCTGGCCTCAAGCAATCCTCTGCCTCAACCTTTTCAAAGTACTGGGATTACAGTTATGAACCCCATGCCCGACCCATTTTTCACTCTCTGTAAATGCCCTACTTTGCTCGTTTCTGATTGTATCATATTTTTTCCTCCCTTTTTCTCAATGGGCAGTCTCTCATATTGTAGTGGTGAGTTTCTTCATTTTTGCTCAAGTGAGCATTTTGCTCATCTTGTTGAAGTGGGTGTTTCTGCTTGTCATTGAGAGTGATTTTTCCCTGGCACTTCTTTATGGTGTTATAATGATCATCTTTTGTAAATGACCCATTGACACTCTGCTTCAAAGGGATGACTTTCAGAGTGTGTCTTTCCATCCTTTCTTATTTGTTATACTCCTATTGGAAGTAATGGCAAAAACTGCAATTACTTTTACACCAACTGGCCGGGCACAGTGGCTCACACCTGTAATCTCAGCACTTTGGGAGGCTGAGGCAGGTGGATCATTTGAGGTCAGGAGTTCAAGAGCAGCCTGACCAACATGGTGAAACCCCATCTCTACTAAAAATACAAAAATTAGCCAGGCATGATGGCATATGCTTGTAATCCCAGCTATTTGGGAGGCTGAGGCAGGAGAGGCACTTGAACCCAGGAAGAGGCAGAGGTTGCAGTGAGCTGAGATCACGCCACTGCACTCCAGCCTGGGTGATAGAGTGAGACTCTGTCTCAAAAAAATATATTTTCCACAAACCTAATACTCCTCGGGGAATTCTTGCAGCCCACCCCAAGCCCACACCCCCCCCACACACACACTTCCCCAGCTAGAGTGAATGAATGGGCTGACCCATGTCCTGGATAGTACTGAGCCCTCAACTAGGGACAGCACTGGCCACTCAGCCAGACCCTGGACTCTGCCTGGGGCTTTTCAGCAGGGTCCCGTGGTCTGTGATCTGAAACTGACTCTGACTAGAGTCCAGCTGGGACTGTAGAATGCACTCTGAGCTCCAGACAGAACTCCAAGATGGGCCTGTCCAAGTAGAGACAGGCTGTGGGCTGGCCTGAGCTCCAAGTGCCTGCCATGACCCAGGACTCCGAGCTGGGCTGTAGGATCAGC